TGTTTAGCTTCGACCCGACTCTCCTTGGGTTAAGCTAAACACTGATGGCTCTTTTGATCGCCATACTGGAGCTGCCAGAGGAGGATGCCTGATCTGGGACCACAACGGCGCCCTCATCACCACCTTCCACGCGCCCCTTCAGGCCTCCTCGAGCTACGACGTAGAGATTCAGGTATTACAGATTCGCCTTCATATTGCTATCCACCTCTCTAGTCATATTTAGATCGAGCTGGACGCTGTGGCTGTCGCCACCCTCCTGACATCGGGCCACCAGGGCTCGTGGCAGATCCAGCACCCGCTTATGCACATTAGAGCTCTCTTCGGTCTGTCCATCACACGATCACGCACATATTCCGTGAGGGGAACAAACCTACTGACTACCTTGCCAGCCTTGGCGCCACCATACCAGACCCACATTCGTTTCAGACCGACACTGCTCCACTCTGCCTCTGCACGCTTGTACGGATGGACCAGCTTGGATATCCATCGTTCCTCTTTCAGTAGATTAGGGCTATTGCTTTCTTTAGATTAGACTTTTATTTCGGGCACCTGTTAGCCCGAAGACAGAGTTTTGTATTGTTTTTTCTTTTCTGCCTTTTGGTTTGCTAGTGAGACTTTGTAGACTGTAGTCTATTGATACCTCGGGCCCCCGTTTTAGGGCATTGATCTATGCACAGGTTGGGGATCCCGCCCAATCCCCCGTCCCTCAGGGGCGTTGTTTTTGAAAAAATAAAAATAAAAAAAAATAACTAACAACTACTAATCTAGCAACTACAAAGAACTAACCTAGCAACTAGAGAGAACTAACCTAGCAACTACAAAGAACTAACCTAACAACTACAAAGAACTAACCTAGCAACTACATAGAACTAACCTAGCAACTACAGAGAACTAACTAGCACAAAAAAATACTCTCACCTCTCTCTAGCTTTCTCTCTCTAGCTCTTACCTTATCTTTTCACTCATCCCTTCTTCCTCCCATTTCCCCGCCGCCATCCTCCTCCG